CGAACCGTGTATTACAATGCCGTTATGTGATCATTTTCAAAGAGAAAAGCAAGAGCACTCGGAATTAAGTATTATTTTATTCTTTGAAATTCAGTTCCTGACTGACGCCAACAAAGCCCGAGATTATGAAATTAAACCAATAAATAAAAGCAAGGATAATTGTGTGTTATTGGTGAGTAAATAACAGTGTGTTATTTTTGAAAAGAATAACAAATTAGAAGGAAAAAAAGATTTAAAAAATACAGATTTCAGTGTCCTGAGGCTCTGAGCCCCATTTATTTTCCTCACAGACGGCAACAAAAGTCCGAAATTATACGATTTAAAAATAAAGCAATAATTGTTGGCTTGATATTGAGTAAGAACATGTGGTTTTATGAACCACACAGCTTCCGGTCTTCCACGACCCGACTGGAGAAAAAGACGTGCTGCAGGTGTCAGTAGAGGCTTCTCAATACTCAAATTTCCACTCCTCGGACTCCCCTCCTCGAGACTTAGACCCGCCCAAAGGAGATGCGAGCGGGAGGACCGAGGAGGGGAACCGAGGAGAGAGGAGGGGAAGCAGCAGACGTTTTAAAGAAATGAGAACTCCTCTCCTCTGAGCGGTCATTTTAAAGAGACGTCCGTTCATTATTACGTGGCAACAGCTGCATCAGCTGTCGAGTGTTTTGTCATAGCACTGTATCTCTGTTAGATCAGCTGAACATTGTTCCCCCCCATATTTACTTTGAATCATTGAGAGTGCGGGTTATAATGAGACAATAACAGGCTACAGATGCGGACACACACACACAAATATATTTATATAAATATATACAATTTAAAGTGTGAGAGCACTCTGATAATAACGTAACACAATCAGAGACTGGATATATCTCCCCCCCCCCCCCCCTCTCTCTGGTCGCCGAAATGGGGAATTGAAATTACGAGCCAAAAGTTGTATTTACAAGTTGGCCTATTAAAAGTAAGCAGAGGACACCAAACCAACTGAGACCCGTCTGTCCGCCGCATTTACGCACTGTACAACACAAACCTACACACTGTACAACACACACCTACACACTGTACCACACACACACATACACACTGTACCACACACATCACCTACAGCTCCTAAAGCATAAGCCGTTATGTATTTTATCATGTGAAGCACTAAATGGTCTTAGAAAAATATCGACTCTTTGTTTGTAGACTAAACTAAAGCAAATAAAGAGAGTAGGCCTGTTATACTGAGTGATATATATTATACACACTGATCTGCTTTCTGCATGGACCTTACAGCTGTTCTCTCTGGAAACATCGCGACGCGATGAAAGCAGTTTCTAGAATAATATCCTGGGGATGCATGAATAGCTGTCATTGGCTGAGATAAGTCCGGCCGTGCGTCACGCCTACACCGTTCCCGGAAATGCATCCGTGGAGGAGCCGTGGAGGAACCATCAGTGTATCCTCGGTTAGAGCTCCTCCAGAGAGCCTCCTCGACGCTCGATCCTCGGTCCTCAGTGTGCATTTAGAGAAATGAGATGTCCTTCAAAATGGCGTGCTGAAATTCATTTCCGGGTCACTACCGGAGGACCGAGGAGTCGAGGAGGGGAAATTTGAGTATTGAGAAGCCTTTAGTCTAGTCAGTACCAGATATGTTCGATATGTTCGGGCTACCAGATATGTTCGGGTGTATTTCCGTCGCATCCGTCATCCGTCATATTCGTCATATTTTACGGCAACTCAAGAGGGCCATCACGGTCAAATTCCGAACATTTAAACATAGCCGACACTTCATTCTTACTTTGTCCGTTATTATATGTAGAAGATTATACTTTTTCTCCGTCATGTTGTTTCCTTAGCAACAACTTCAAACAGGCATAGCCTACACTTCATTCTTTTACTTTGTCCGTTATTATATGTAGAAGATATACATTTTTCTCCGTCATGTTGTTTCCATAACAACAACTTCAAACAATAACAACTAACCGCTAGCCGCAAAGCTAGCATCACAGCCACTGCTCCGTTTTCGGAGACTTTGCACACGTTTTTCACAAACATGTTCACACGCTAGGAGTACTTCCATTCGCTTCGTCTTGATCTGTAGATGTGATTTGATGTGTCGTGTGTCCCCCAACTCCTCTCCAAAGTTCAGATATTCAATAAAATACTCAGGGGAGTTTCCTGAATTTTCATGCCCAAAGCCAAGCACTAGGCCCTGGGTAAATTAAGAGGCTGATATCGGGCACTTTTGTCCACTTTCCCTGGTGGTAGAAACTCAAGCCAGACATCCCTGGAATCGTCTCAGAGAGTAGATGATCAGTGGGGCCTTGTTTTTACTGAATGATGTGTTTTTTATGGGGAATTCAAATATGAGCTTATTTTTAGGATTTTCGGAGACTTTGCACACGTTTTCACGCTAGGAGTATGGGAGTACTTCCATTCGCTTCGTTGATCTGTAGATGTGATTATGTGTCGTGTGTCTCCCAACTGCTCTCCAAAGTTCAGATACTATATAAAAATACTAAAAGGTAAATAAAACATTAAACATAATGACAAAATAACAACCTGAAATATATGTATTCTATCTACATATTTCGTAATTATCTAATCTAGTGGCCTTATAAAAGTGTTGGCTAAAGTAACGCAGAATATATATTTTTTAATTGTAAATAATTAGAAACATTATTTATGTGCACAAGTACATGGGACCCCACCATAGCACCCCACACATAACAAGCTGTCCCGAGTTCCTCCGGCTGCAGTTCCGCAGACGGCCGGTGTGTGGCAGCAGAGCGCTGGGATCAGAGGGAGGTGAGTAGACGGACATGACGGATGACGGATGCGACGGAAATACACCCGAACATATCTGGTAGCCCGAACATATCTGGTACTGACACCGGTGTCAGTACCAGATATGTTCGGGCTACCAGATATAAATATATATATTCTGCGTTACTTTAGCCAACACTTTTATAAGGCCACTAGATTAGATAATTACGAAATGTGTAGATAGAATACATATATTTCAGGTTGTTATTTTGTCATTATGTTTAATGTTTTATTTACCTTTTAGTATTTTTATATAGTATCTGAACTTTGGAAAGGAGTTGGGAGACACACGACACATCAAATCACATCTACAGATCAAGGCGAAGCGAATGGATGTACTCCCATACTCCTAGCGTGAAAATGTTTGTGAAAACGTGTGCAAAGTCTCCGAAAATCCTAAAAATAAGCTCATATTTGAATTCCCCATAAAAAAACACATCATTCAGTAAAAACAAGGCCCCACTGATCATCTACTCTCTGAGACGATTCCATGGATGTCTGGCTTGAGTTTCGGCCACCAGGGAAAGTGGACAAAAAGTGCCCGAGATCAGCCTCTTAATTTAACCAGGCTTAACCAGTGCTTGGCTTTGGGCATGAACATTCAGGAAACTCCCCTGAGTATTTTATTAAATATCTGAACATTGGAGAGGAGTTGGGGGACACACGACACATCAAATCACATCTACAGATCAAGACGAAGCTATTGGAAGTACTCATAGTGTGTGAAAATGTTTGTGAAAAACGTGTGTAAAGTCTCCGAAAACGGAGCAGTGGCTGTGATGCTAGCGGTTAGTTGTTATTGTTTGAAGTTATTGCTATGGAAACAACATGACGGAGAACAAATTAATATCTTCTACATATAATAATGGACAAAGTAAAGAATTAAGTGTAGGCTATGCCTGTTTGAAGTTGTTGCTAAGGAAACAACATGACGGAGAAAAGTATAATCTTCTACATATAATAACGGACAAAGTAAAGAATGAAGTGTCGGCTATGTTTAAATGTTCGGAATTTGACCGTGATGGCCCTCTTTGATTGCCGTATATACGAATATGACCGACGGAAATACACCCGAACATATCTGGTAGCCCGAACATATCTGGTACTGACACCAGTACTGACAACCGGACTCAGATGAAAATATTCGTGCTGGCCAAACGGCGGTACTAACACTTCCGTTTGGTTGCCAGGCCGGAAACACTTTTTCCCATTGACTTACATGGGGAAAGAGTGGTCTGTAACTCGTTGGATAATTTTTTTTAAACTAAATAAACTACCCAGTATGAACACTTGTATAGCCCTTATTAAAACATTCGTTCCTCAAGTTGTAAAAATTAGCTAATAACGTTATTCTGAGAGTTATTTCCCTCTGCATTATGAACGCGCATCTAACCCACGGGACCGCGCGCGCCCGGCCCGTTGAAGGTTAAATAGATAAGCAAATGTGGCAGTGAATATAGATATAGTGGGCCTATCATGGAAAAGCTAAGACATTGAGCTGTCTGAGTTAAAAGTACAGTACTGTGTTAAAGTCCTACTGCTGAGAAGCCTCAGTGGAAATATACTATGTGAATACTGTGTGCAACAAAAACGCAGGGTCAACCAGATTAAGAACAGAGGCATCCTGTTATGTCCAAACTGATAAGCCACAGGTTGCAGAACTCATTATTCTCACACTAAATCACCCACCAAGCAGGCGCAACAGTTCACAAGGCAGTCTTGTGAGTGAAACCAGATAAGGAAGTGAGTGAAAGCAAATAAGGAAGTAACAAAAGCGCGCCGAAGGCTAACCTATGAGTTGCTAGGGTAGCAACGGCAGATTACACCACAAGAAAGCAGCGAAGGTGGGGGCTCCGCTAGGAACAGTATATAGCAGGATGTATTCAGTACTCGAGGCTCTCTTCAACTGGGATCTTACACTGACGAGCTTGTCACGGTGAGAACTCAAGAAGGAGTCCAAGGCGCTTTGTGGTATAGTATCAGATTGATGTATCTTTGTTGAACTGTGTAATAAAGTGCTTATTTGAAGAAACAATCCAATGGAGTGCAAAGTCTAGTTTTGTAAAGCTAACAGAGAATAGTGTCTAGGACACAATTCCTTTTCCCTCAGAACTAAGAAACGGTCATCGGCAGATCCGGACAGCGACCCCGCTCTAGCCATATCCAAACGATCTGCGCGGAGGACGGACCTGGTCCGGTAGACTCCAACAGCTTGGTGACCCCGACGTGATGGTCTAGAGCAGGTAGTCTGGACACCGATGACCTTCTGAGAGGACACCAAAAAACATTGAGTTTACGGCTTTTACAAGAAACCATCTCACACATCAAAAACCCGGGTAACTCAGAATCAAGGTAAGCATCTGCCTGTTACAACAATAGATGTGTTTGAAATACCACAACATTTTAGGATTGTGTGAAAATGGCAGAAATAATTGTCTCAGCTAAAAAGTAAAGATAAAACGTAAATAAAATTGTGTGCACTAAATAGATCAACAAGGGCATAAACAAATCTGTGGTGAGAAGCGGGTGAAACCCGTAATTTATGAGGATCCGCCGCGGTCCAAAGGGAAGGTGTAAAACTGGTCGCCGTACCAGTAGCCATAGCACAGTGTAAAACTAGGCGAGGCCCTAGTATCTAAGGGAAGGTGTAAAACTGGTCGCCGTACCTGTAGCCATAGCACAGTGTAAAACTAGGCAAGGCCCTAGTATCTAAGGAAGGTGTAAACCTGGTCGCTGTACCAGTAGCCATAGTACAGTGTAAAACTAGGCAAGGCCCTAGTATCTAAGGAAGGTGTAAAACTGGTCGCCGTACCAGTAGCCATAGCACAGTGTAAACTAGGCGAGGCCCTAGTCTAAGAAAAGGTAGAAGACTAGCAAAAGACGCTAGCAACCAGAGAATCTAATAAAGAAAGATAAGGAAAAGTAGAAAATGGAAGGCGAATTTTCGAGAGAAGAAGCACTAGGCTTCAAAATCCCAGATGTACGTCGCGAGGTTTGGAAAGAATGGGTGGAAGAAGGACAAAAGGAAGTTGAGAAAAAGGATCACAAAAATGGGAAAAAGGGGTAGCAAAATTGTACCGAACATTTACAGATAATGGCATACTGACAGCACACAGACAAAGAACTAAGGATAAAAAAGGAGAGTTGTTAGGAGGGAAAGATACGAAAGGAATGTTCAAAAAAGCCACCAAAGGGCTAGAAGAAGAGCTCTGTCGTCACAAGAGCATAGACCCAGGGCGATGGTCACTCAAAAAGAAAGCACACCAAAACCAACAAGAAAAACTAGAACAACTAATTAGGACCTCATATGCCATGGTCTCAGCCGCTGGCCGCCTGGAAGAAACAAATAAAACCACCCCGGCCACACAAGCCCCCCTAGTAGCCGCGCCAGTAGCAGCACCGGCAGTAAAAAACCCTGCAGTAGCAGAACCCCCAAACCAGCAGAACCCATAATCAACCAAGAGAAACACACGGCCGCCACCGCCCCAGCTCTCCTGTACCCCGAGCTCCCTAGAGAACAGCATGAGGTGCCACCCCCGTATAGCCCAGCCAACCCCTTCAGCCAGGCAGTGCTGCACCCTATGAGGGCTGGACCCACCGACGGGTATTACCAGATAGAGGGAAAAGTCTTATTAAACCAAACATCCCCACCTTTGACCAGAGCAGGGGTACAAGGACCGTCCCCAGATAGGAGATACCAAGATACCCCATACCCTAGACAGGAACACAGCAAAGAAAGGGGAGGGGGAGCTAAAACAAGCGAGCATGAAGACACAGATACTCCCCGAAGAAATGAAGGTAGGGCGTTAGCCGAGGCGAATTTAGAGGCCGAGTTAGCACAAAGAAACAGAGACAGGGCCACCAGCACACCAAAAACACCCAATCAAAGCAACTGGGGAGAAGGAGCAACTGGGGGACGGGAAGAACAGCATAAGGGGGTAACAAAAGACTTGTTGGGCGATTTTCTGGGATCATGGGACAAGCAAGGGGAACAGGCTCAGGGGGAAGGACCACAAGGCGAAACTCAGTAACCAGCAAAGAAAAAGAAAGCATAAGATTGGGTTTAAAAATGGGACAACAGATAGATACAAGCGGCCGAGATGGGTTTTCTCTCGCAGGGTGGCTGGTGTCTCCCTTAGGGATAAGGTGAGAAGTTCGGTCATCAGGGAGGGACTCGGAGTTGAGCCGCTCCTCCTTCGCGTCGAAAGGAGCCAGTTGAGGTGGTTCGGGCACCTAGTTAGGATGCCACCTGGGCGCCTCCCTAGGGAGGTGTTCCAGGCACGTCCAGCTGGGAAGAGACCAAGGGTAGACCTAGGACCAGGTGGATAGGATTATATATCTTCGCTGGCCTGGGAGCGCCTTGGGATCCCCCAGTCAGAGCTGGTTGATGTCGCCAGGGAAAAGAAAGTTTGGGGCTCTCTGCTGGAACTGCTACCCCCGCGACCCGACCACGGATAAGCGGGAGAAGATGGATGGATGGATGGATGGACAACAGATAGAAAAATACGAAGGCTCCCCAAGAAGGAATACTAGAAGCCAGAACAGATGAGGAGTTGGCTAAAGAACAATCTAAAGCTTCCCCGCAAGAACTAATGGCCTGGAGAAACAAAGGGGCAAGAAAGGGAGCAAATGACATTTGGTACTCCCCAGACGGGAGGCCAGTGATCCCACCAGGGTGGGTAAGAGCTATGATGAAGGAAGCACACTCAATGGCACACGTAGGAAAGAACCAAATGGTTAGGGCCCTGACCCATTGGTGGCACCCTTACCTACCAGATTTAATAGCTAATCATCTTGAAGAATGCAGTATTTGTGGACGCTACAATGTGAGGGCCACCATCAAACCACATGAGGGAAAGTTTCCTGCAGTAACAATGGCAGGGGAGGAGATAGTCATAGACTATACAGACATGATAGACAGACACAGGGGAAAGAGGTACATACTCATGGTTGTGGATGCCTACACAGGGTGGCCAGAAGCCATCCCCTGTGCAAAAGAAGACAGCCAGTCTGTAATCAACTTCCTGGTACAAACCTACATTCCAAGACACGGGTTCCCCAAAAAGATTCGCAGTGACAATGGAAGCCACTTCAAAAATCACGATTTAGCGGTGGTGGAAGCCTCTCTTGGGCTAACCCACAGATTTGGAGCAGTGTATCATCCACAATCACAGGGAAAGGTTGAGAGAATGAACTTAAATCTAAAACAGAAACTAGCAAAGGCGATGGAAGAAACAGGAATGACATGGTTGGAGGCACTACCTCTCGCCCTATTGGCTATCAGGAGTTCCATTTGCAGGACCACTGGGTTCACTCCATATGAAATGACTCATGGGCACCAGTTTCCAGGCCCAGGGGCGGGAGCCACGGTTTCAAAGGAACTGTATGACAAAGTGGGGCACCAGGCCTACTATAAACAACTAAAATGCCTCGTTGCAGAGTTCGCGGACGAATCCACAGCAGCCAGAGCCAAAGGACACACAGAGGAAGCTGAGGGCAGCAGGGACGCTGAATACGTCCGCCTGAAGACGATCAAACCCAAGTGGTGTGCTCCAAGGTTCTCTGAACCACTCAAGGTAACCCAGCGAACAGATCATGCAGTCAGAGTAGACGGAAAAGGAGACACGTGGTACCACTGGAGCAGGTGTGTGGAAGCACCAGCACCTACCAGGACCCTCGCTGACACCATCCAGGACCTAGGCCAACTGAACATCAGGCAAAACAACCGAAGCCCCCCAACCCCCAAGTGTGGACATCGACTCCACTTCCGAGGAGGAGGAGACAACAGGGGAACCAACGGCAGCCCAGGAGATAACAGCCGGCGAGGAGGCACAACAAGGGACCGCTCCCCCAAAGTAGGCGGTACACCACACACACGCATCACATACACACACCACATAAGAGACACTCACCTACACTGATACACCAAAGAACTTTTACAAGAAAAACAAAGATGAAGAAGAACTCAGGACCTAACCAACACCTCTATTGCTTGGCCTTAACACTGTGTTTTTTCATTATTGTTGGAATAATCATTATCATAGTGGGTGAAAGGGGGAGGCAAATCATTGACCAAAGTAATAATCCAAATTCCCCACAAAATAAAACTACACAAGATACCTTTTCTCCTCCAAAAAACAGCCTAACTAGACACGTCCGCAATGTGGCCGGCACAGTAGATACGGCAAATTTCACCCAATGTAACCAGAAAGATGCATTGAGACACATCTCGCTGACACTTTGCCTACCCTCGGACTCAAGCACCACTACCCTCATCCCGTACACCAGTTTGTCAAACGAACTCAACCAAAAAGGAGGGTCGTGGGGAAACAAAACCAATGGTACATGACGCTAGACTTTTGGTTCGGAAAAGGCGATCCCAATGAAAGATATAGCTATGGTCGAGCGTGGACCGACTTGGTGGGAGAGACAGGGGCGGATTGGAGTTCATCGTCAACAGGAACAGCGAAAAAAGTAAGGCAAAGAGTACACCTGGCAAAATCCTCATCTGGCCTCGTAGTACAGTTAGACTTAACGGGGGTACCCCAACCCAAGAAAGATGAACCCCCTTGCGCATCCTTTTATCTATGGCCCAAGACATCGCCAAGCCCCCAATTCTCTATATACGTATGCATGTCCAGTCGCATTAAAAGACCACAATCTGACATAGTATCCGTCCAAAAGGGTGTGGTGATCCACTCCACTAAGGAGTGGACAACTGATCAAGAGTTCCAAGCAGCAACTGGAATCTCGGGACACACTCAAACAGCAACAACTGGTTACTGATGGCACAACAAGCCGCGCTAGACACAGGCGATGACTGCCTCGTTTGTATGGGAGCCAGACCCCTGCTCCACATAATTCCTGCCCCGGTAGAACCAAGGTGTGCCACTGAAATAATGGGGACAGACAACCCTCAACACAATTGCTCTAAATACGACGTTTACTTCCCTTTAGCCAACGCGGAATTAAAAAAGCCCTTATTCTTTGCAAAAGTTCCGAGGTTGAATTACACCTGTTTCCACACCACAATCAGAAACACCGGGGGGTTCAACAAAACTCTCTGCGACCACATAGTGACACCAACTACACCTGGACGTGGTGTAATCCGAGCAGACATATGGTTCCACTGCGGTGGCAACCAACTCCACGATCGCGTCCCATATAATGCCAGTGGTCTATGTGCACTGGTCACTTTGCTTCTACCAGTGAAAACCTACAAATTAAAAGTAGGGGACATAACAAACCTGGCAGAACAATACCCCTATCATACTACGAACAGAGTCAAACGCGAAGCCATGATTGACCCAGATCCAACGTACATAGACGCAATAGGGGTACCACGGGGCGTACCAAGTGACTACAAAATAGCCGATCAAGTAGCGGACGGCTTCACATCCATCATCTGCCCCTGGTGTGTCATCAATAAAAACTCAGACCAGACCGCATCAATTACATTCATTATAATATCCAACGCCTAGGAAACCTCACACATGCCGGACTCAAGGCAGTTAGTGAGCAATTGAAAGCCACATCACTCATGGCCTATCAAAACAGAATGGCCCTAGACATGCTCCTAGCAGAAAAAGGCGGAGTATGTGCAATGTTCGGAGAGCAATGCTGCACCTTCATTCCCAACAACACCGCTGCAGATGGCACTCTACAAATAGCACTGGACGGTCTGAAAACCCTCAACTCTCGCATGAAAGATCAATCTGGTATCGACGGTAAATGGGACGAATGGATGTCAGTGTTCGGTAAATACAAAACCCTGGTCACCTCAGTATTGGTATCAATGGCCGTGTTTGCAGCAATTTTGACCTTGTGCGGGTGCTACTGCATCCCATGTATCCGCTCAATGGTGGACAAAATAATTAGTACCGCCATAGCACCTTCTACTCCCCTGGGCCAACAACTCGCCTTGCTATCCTTAGAAAACAACCCAGACATTGAAGAAGGCGAAGAAGAAGCGGCAGCAATGGACACTTTCCCGACAGCACCACCAGTACCACCGTATGGCAGAATGTGGGAAAGAGAGACAGAAGCCTAAAACAGCTGACATAAATGTACATAAACAATAGCGTTGTTTTGTTGCCCCAATCATTAGAATGGGGCAAAAGGGGGATTGAAGGATAAAGATAAGGCAAATGTGGCAGTGAATATAAGATATAGTGGGCCTATCATGGAAAAGCTAAGACATTGAGCTGTCTGAGTGGAAAAGTACTAGTACTGTGTTAAAGTCCTACTGGCTGAGAAGCCTCAGTGGGAAATATACTATGTGAATACTGTGTGCAACAAAAAACGCGGGGTCAACCAGATTAAGAACAGAGGCATCCCGTATGTCCAAACTGATAAGCCACAAGGTTGGCAGAACTCATTATTCTCACACTAAATCACCCACCAAGCAGGCGCAACAGTTCACAAGGGCAGTCTTGTGAGTGAAACCATGATAAGGAAGTGAGTGAAGCAAATAAGGAAGTAACAAAAGCGCGCCAAAGCTAACCTAAGAGTTGCTAGGGTAGCAACGGCAGATTACACACAAGAAAGCAGCGAAGGTGGGGCGTCCGCTAGAACAGTATATAAGCAGGATGTATCAGTACTCGAGGGCTCTCTTCAACTGGGATCTTACACTGACGAGCTTGTCACGGTGAGAACTCAAGAAGGAGTCCAAGGCGCTTTGTGGTATAGTATCAGATTGAATGTATCTTTGA